CACCCCGGGCTTAGGGTAAGAGGTGCTCCCCGGAGATCTGGGTTGGAGGCCGCAGGTTGGGGGGCGCACAGGATTGCGGGGAAGCCTCCGCAGGCGCGGTCCCCGGGAGCCGGAGCTGCGGAGCTGCGGCTGTGCGCCCTGGGCGCGATGGGAAGGCTGCGCCGCGCCCACCCGCTGCTGCCTCGGGTGGTACAAAGACCGAGAAACTCACAGGCTCTGCCCAGAGCAAGCCGGAGTGCGGGAAGCTGCCCGCGCGGGTCTTGGGACGCACCTGTTGCGGGAGAACGACCCCCGCCTCCGCGCCGCCCCGCTGCGCCCCCAGGCTGCGCCCGCGCCGCGTGTGGCCCGAGAGAGCAGCGCCCTGCGCCGCCGCCGGGTCGCTCGCTCCCTCTTCCTGCTTGTTTTAGCCCTCTGAAAGGGCCAGTGGCCAGGGCCAAGGTCACGGCGCGTCTCCGGCCGGGGCCCCTCTGGGCTGCCGCGGCCCCTCGGAGCTGCGGCAGCCTCCGCCCAACGCCGGCTCCCTGACTCCCCCCGCCTCCCGCACACGCCGGGAGCAGCGCGCGCAGCTCGCCTTTCTCAGCGCCCCGCCTGCCCCTGCTCGGGGCTGAGCGGAGGCTTCGGGTGAACCCTCGGAGTCCCGAGCGACTCCGCTAGGCAAACTTTTGGGAACAGCGCCTGCACAGCCTGTTGGGGCGCCTCTGCCTTTTGGGCCCTGTTCAGTATCAACCCATTTTATGGAGAGCAAAGTTGTGGCTCCTTTATTCATTAGTCCTCCTCTCGATGTTAAACCCTACAAGATATAGGAAATGAGGAACAAGCCTCCTAGGAGAGGCTGGGCCCCTGTAAGGCTTCACCAGAAGTGCTTGCCTGACTGGGGCCCTGGACCTGGGACCATTTCACACTCACATGTAGAGGTATTTGGGGAAAGCGGGGAGGAGAGGGCGCGCCGCGTCCTGGACTGTGGCTGTGGACCCTCGGCCTGGACACGGCAGTTGTGCACGTCCAGCTGATCTACCTTCATGTTACCGGAGCTATAAACCCGTTAGGGGTGGAGGGGGTATGTAGGCAGAGGCCCGGGCCCCTTTCCAGCCTGGCGCAATCCCCGCCTGAGCTGGTGGCAGGGGCTGCGTCGCCCCCACTCGGTGGAAAGGCCGTGCCCAGAAGAGCGGCTTCTGGTTCGGACTACCAGAAGCCTGGCCTTTGTCTTTCCAGCCCGAAAGTGAGTTGTTCCGCTTGTACTTCAAGGGCTGCTTCCATTTTTCCCTGCCACCTCGATTAACGTGAGAAAATTTTTACGTAAAATACCTTTTACCAGCATAATTCTTGCTACTCCTTCATTTGTGATCATTCGTTCTAACTAGACTTTGCTACTTCCTGAAATAAAAACTGAGTCACAGCACTCTCAGCTTGGGCATGAGAAAGGCCGGAGTCCATGACCAAGGATCAGGAAGGTGGTTCAGGAGGCGGCGGGGGCCGGGCCTGTGCACTGGCCCCAAGGCTGGGAAACCGCTTTTCCCTCCAGGGTGGTGCTCCCAGGGCTCCCTGCCGCCGGACGCGATCAGCGGAGAGGCGCTGGGGGCGACGGTCTGGACCACGCCTCTCCACCGGCCCCCCTCCGTCACCACCGCCTAGGACTGTGCCTGAATATCTGCTGAGGTTCTGGAACCTTTTTTTCTCATAGACAGTTCGGTGGATGTCGCTGTCTGAGCTCAAAGGGACGGGTCTGGTGAATTAAGAAACATTTTGTTTGGCTTGGATATTAGAAGTGCGTTTGGACAATCAGCCTTTCCACATCCAATCGAATCTCCTGCACTCTTGGCTTTAACGCATTTTCCTTCTACGGAGCTGGAGGCGGTAGGAGGAAAGAAGTCTAGTCTTCAAGGGCACTAAGGTCCTGGCTTTGAGGAGGGGCTCTCGTCCATCTTCTTCTCTTACAGAGAAGCGAAGTTCCGCGCAGAAAAGCATCCGTTCCAATGTCGCGTCTCCCTATCCTACCGGTAATTGCCAGCTCAGCTTTTGCGGCGAGACTAGCCAAGAGGCGCACAGCCTCGCAGAGCTTGCAGACCCCCGGCCTGGGCATGCAACCCTCTGCGTTGGCCGCACCATTTGTGGCCCTGCAGAGTGAGGCCTCCTCCACCTTGAGCGTCCCAAAGACGTGCTCTGACTGCGCCGCGCAGTCCGAGGCCCTAACTGGCGGATATTCCGGGATTGTTTCGGTTCCACACTTCCCATCCACTCAACTACAACCTAGCACCTGTCTCTGGTTCCTCCGCGCCCAGCCTCCTGCGGGCTTGCCGGGGTTTCAGCTTTCCCGCCCCTCAACTGTTTAGCTAGTCCCATTGACAAAACACAGCAAGGGGAGAGAACGATCGCGCCGACCTCCCTCCTGGAACCGAAGGTTCCAAACCCCAGGCCTCCTTCCTCTTTATCCCCAGACTCCACCGAGCACCGGCCCGCAGTGCCCACGCGCGCACGCCTACCGGGCTCTCCAGATCCTTTCCCTGAGCAACGCGCGCGCGCGCGCGCACACGTTGTTTCTTATTCGACCCTCAGCGCCCGCTTTCCCCACCCCGTGGGCCCACCCGCCCCGGCCCAGGGGCGCCGACCTGCAGATGCTACCCGCCTCCGTGTGCCAGCGCCGTGGCCAGAGGCCGCCGGGCCCGGCTACCGCTGGGACTGCCCCACCCGCGTCTGTTGGCTCCAGGGGCGGGGGGCTGGGAGCAGCCCCCGCAGGAACACTCTCTCTGGAGTTCTTGGGAACCCTTTCTATCTCTAACTCCCTTCCTGGCAACTTTTCCTCCTCTCCATCTCAAGTTGCTCTTCTAGTAACACTAGGGTTGGGGTTTTTTGGTTTTGCTGTTTGTTTGTTTGTTTGTTTGTTTCCCTCAGCTCCAGGTCTAAGAAGTTAGAGAATTTTGCAAGGCAAATTCTTTCAATAATGTATTTATTTAAATGAGAGGAGAGAAAGAAAGAAAGAAAGAAAGAGAAGAAGGAAGGAAGAGAAAGAAAGAACGAAAGAAAGAAAGAACGAAAGAAAGAAAGAAAGAAGGAAAGAAAGAGAAAAAGGAAGGAAGGAAGAGAAAGAAAGGAAGGAAGGAAGGAAGGAAGGAAGGAAGGAAGGAAGAAAGAAAGAAAGAAAGAAAGAAAGAAGGAAAGAAAGAGAAAAAGGAAGGAAGAGAAAGAAAGAAAGAAAGAAAGAAAGAAAGAAGGAAGGAAGGAAAGAGAAAAAGGAAAGAAGGAAGGAAGAGAAAGAAAGAAAGAAAGAAAGAAGGAAAGAA